CGCCCCAGGCCAGATGGCAGAGCCAGGTCTTCAAATCCCTCCGAAAGGCCTGGAGTGAGGGGGCCTGTCTCACCCCCGGGGGCTACAGTAGAGAAGGCCCGCCTTCTGGACCCCGCTAATTGAAGTTCTTTTACCGCGGGGATCCGGAGCATGCCCTCTCTGTGAGATCAGGTGTGTAGTTCTCTGCCATCTGTCTTCCTCAATTTAGCATTCTTTAGGTTTATTCACCTACAGTTCCCATCTTCCTCAGCCAGTATGGCCCATAAAAGGATATATTTCATAGAAGAGAGGGATTAAGCATGAGAATGCCATTTCAACAGTAACCCTGTTTTTTATGTGACATCTAATTCATGGCTAAATCCATTGTTTCTAATTACATGATTCATTTTCCAATTGAAATTTCAGCCCTTGGTCTGTGTTGGTGAGTGATCCCCCCCGGTACATTACAGTCCCAAGGAACATTGTTCTCTCTGCAGACTGGTATTTAGGGAACTTTCCATTCCTTTTCTGCTAGTCTAGCATTCCCTTCACACAGAATACTGTAGATATGAAGTCACTCCCAAGTAGAAGGGAAGTCACGCGAGACAGCTGGACTCTCCACAGGCCTCATGTCTCCCCTTGAGGTCAATATATCTAACTCCTCATGTACAACTACTGTATGTAATGACTCCCTATAGGAACTTAAGTTCTGGGTATGTTATAGTCCTGCTTCAATTATCACCTGGATTGTTTTTAATAATAAAAATTTAGTTAGGAATGGTAATAATCTGACCTAATCTGATCTAGGAGAAAATTTGGGTTGGAGCTAGTCTTTCTAGCATCATTAATAAACAGTCTGAATTTATAGAATGGGAAGCATTGTATGAAGAGAAGGAGCCTGGGAAATATGGATAACTCAGATTATTGTTGTTATTATATATGGTGAGTCAGCCAATAAAGTGGATGAGAGGTCAAGAAGAGCAAGGACAGACACGCCATTCCCATCCCACTCTGACCAGAGTTCACCTAGACGTGCTATCAATGCTGTCTCAGTCCTACAGTGGGGCAAAAAAGTATTTAGTCAGCCACCAATTGTGCAAGTTCTCCTACTTAAAAAGATGAGAATCATGGTGGAAAATAAGTATTAGTTAGGAATGGTAATAATCTGACCTAATCTGATCTAGGAGAAAATTAGGGTTGGAGCTAGTCTTTCTAGCATCATTAATAAACAGTCTGAATTTATAGTTAGTTAGGAATGGTAATAATCTGACCTAATCTGATCTAGGAGAAAATTAGGGTTGGAGCTAGTCTTTCTAGCATCATTAATAAACAGTCTGAATTTATAGTTAGTTAGGAATGGTAATAATCTGACCTAATCTGATCTAGGAGAAAATTAGGGTTGGAGCTAGTCTTTCTAGCATCATTAATAAACAGTCTGAATTTATAGTTAGTTAGGAATGGTAATAATCTGACCTAATCTGATCTAGGAGAAAATTAGGGTTGGAGCTAGTCTTTCTAGCATCATTAATAAACAGTCTGAATTTATAGTTAGTTAGGAATGGTAATAATCTGACCTAATCTGATCTAGGAGAAAATTAGGGTTGGAGCTAGTCTTTCTAGCATCATTAATAAACAGTCTGAATTTATAGTTAGTTAGGAATGGTAATAATCTGACCTAATCTGATCTAGGAGAAAATTAGGGTTGGAGCTAGTCTTTCTAGCATCATTAATAAACAGTCTGAATTTATAGTTAGTTAGGAATGGTAATAATCTGACCTAATCTGATCTAGGAGAAAATTAGGGTTGGAGCTAGTCTTTCTAGCATCATTAATAAACAGTCTGAATTTATAGTTAGTTAGGAATGGTAATAATCTGACCTAATCTGATCTAGGAGAAAATTAGGGTTGGAGCTAGTCTTTCTAGCATCATTAATAAACAGTCTGAATTTATAGCTTATTTTCCACCATGATTTGCAAATAAATTCTTTAAAAATCAGACAATGTGATTTTCTGGATTTCCCCCCCCCCCATTTTTCTTCTCTTAGTTGGGGTATCCCTATGATGAAAATTACAGGCCTCTCTCATCTTTTTAAGTGGGAGAACTTGCACAATTGGTGGCTGACTAAATACTTTTTTGCCCCACTGTATATTGGAATCTGAATCCTGATAATCAGCTTCTTCCAGAGTTTTCTGGCATTGCCATGCAACCACCTTCTCCAACGTTCCCCAAAAAAGGAAGGTTAGAGATTGGACAAAAATTGTCCAGAATAGTTAGGTCCAGCAATGGCCTTTTGAGGAGAGGGTGGCCCACTGCATCCTTAAGACCCAGTGCAAGCATCCCTTCTCTCAAAGAGGAATTTATCACACCAAGACCCAACCACATGTCATCTCCCAGGTAGCCTTACCCAACCAGGAAGGACATGGGTCTAAAACAGAGGTGGCCGAGCTAACAATCCAAGAACCCTGTCCATTTCCTCAGGACCAACAGGATCAAACTCCTCCCAATTAACCAAGCCAGACCAAGCCCTTGTCACCTCCACGGGACCTGCTCCAAGCCAAAGTCCAACTCAGCACAAATCTGAGCAACTTCATACATCAGATGCCAAGCATATTCCTCACAGCAGCCTTGTAGGTGAAGTTCTGAATCACCCCCTTCCAGAAGGGTTCAGATCATCTGAAATAAGACCTCCAGACACCTATCCACAAATGCAATATGGGTAGAGAAATATCAACATTTTACCACCCTTATTGCCACAAGGAAGGCCTTAATAACAGCTCTAACCCTTGCTTGATTAGTTACCCCTAGCTGGACCATGTTCCTAGATGTTCAATATGTTGATTCATTTTAACTGCCTACTTTTTTCCATTAGCCAGACTGACTGAGAAAAAAGGTCAAGAAACTGCAAAAATAGTAGAAATTATAAAGATGAATGTATTTCAAGAAAAAATACTGAGGGAAATGAGAATGAAAACATTATTTATTTCACAGTATTTATATACTGCTGTAATGCACAGATTCTGGGTAATATGCAAGTAAAAATTTAATAACCCTAATTAATACCTTATCTCACTTACATGAAAACATTCATAGCCATAAAAATAGATGGTCACCCACAATTCTTCTTTGGAGGCCAGAGGTCCCCTGAAAAAAAATAGTTTGTTGTGCCTTCTAAAATGTTAGGAAGGAGAGAACCAAGTGTACCTCTAGAGTTTCTTATTAATGAAATATATCTAACTGTTTTCATTAACAGAGATTTGCCAGTATCTTTCTGTTTCCTTTTGGCATTGAAAAATAAATAGGTATACAAAAATATTACTATAAATCACCTGTTGAATTCAGGGGAGGATTGAAATACCTCAGAAATCTTGGTTATTTTTGGATGAGTTAATCACCAGGAAAGCCTCTTCCAATCTATTTCTTTGGGTTTTCTTTTTTTTTTTTCAGGGATATACAAGGGGCACTGTTTTCGAATCAACCACTTCCCTGAAGACAATGACTATGATCACGACAGCTCTGAATACCTTCTCCGTAAGTGAAAAAGCCAAAACATATTTAAATAGTTATTGGTGGCTGGAAGAGGAGTTGTGTGTGATTTGTTCCTTTTTGGAAGAACAATCTGAATACAATGCTTGGGTTTTCATGCATGAATGTGATACCTTTGTATTAACACCACCAGCAATGTTGAATCAATGCATTTTGTCACTTTAATTAACCAAATTTCAATTTTACATTACTGAAAATTCATTTGTATATCTGTTCCAAAGGTGAGTAGTCTGTAAAACATAAGCAGCTCCCAAAGGCTTTTGTGCAGCCCCTGGAGTCTCCTCCTACCTAAATGCCAATTTTCTATGGCTGGATCAGTTCTGATTTTGGCAGATTTTATGGTACTTCATGGCATCTCCCATGAAGTACCATAAAAGAAGTAACCAGGAGTGCCTCAGTGCAACTGTCTGCAGTGAGAGGGGATAAATATTGCTGTCTACTGCCACTGTGGTTTCCATCAGTTTCCTTTGTTTTGCAGTGCACTTTACAAAGTTTGTTGTGAGATTTCGGCAGCTGCATTCCACTGTATGTTTTAAGTCCCCAAATGTTATTCTTGTGTTCCAAGCCTGAGAATAAAGTCCCTGATGTTAAATGCCTTCCCGCCCATTAAAGAGCTGCCTTACTTCAAAGATCCAAAGAATTGCTACCACATCCTTCTTCCAGTTTTCTTTCATCCAAGAAAGTTTGCAGGGCATCCAAACAGAGATTGTTCCCAGGCACTGTGTGACAGGTAGTCCCAGCTACAATTTTCAGGCACAGGATATGAAGCTCAGAACACGTAGAGGGAGCTGATTTAAAGGGAAAGTGTGCCTTACGGGACAAAGGTAGAGAGAGTGGTAGGTGAATTTGGGCAATTGTCTTGAGCAAACAAGACATGACTACAGGTATCTAAATCATATTTCTCATTGATCCAGGTCAGTTTGGGGCAATCTGCAAAATCCCACCACCACTTTTACCCCAACTTCAGTCTGTTTGGTCTTAGCCTTGCTGCTTGTACACAGTTGTCCCCCAAGTAATAGTCATTTATTGCTTCTGCTACTTATTTATTTTCATTCATATTTTGATTTTCATTTATATTTCATATTTATTTATTTTCATTTATATTCTGATCTTCTCCTCAGAATAAAAGATATATACGGCATCTCCTTCATGCTATCTCAGTGAGCCTCCATTCCTTTCTCTTTGATTTATCCACATTTGCATGCTTCCATTTACTGTTTTCCTCTTCCATCTTACACCTAATTATTCTTCCCTGTGAGCTCTGTTTCTTAGCCATGATCTATACTGCTTCTCCTGAATGTTTTTCAGTCTCCACTTAAAAGCCTCTCTGGTTAGCCAGCTAACCAATCAAGCTGACTTTTCAGTTCAGTTTTCTAAATACTGGCCAATCTGTCTGAAAAGTTAGAAAATCACCATTTTTTTCTGCATTGGGAAGAAGAGATAGGATTTACAGAGGGTAGCTAAAACTATCTTTTTAGCTTTCTCATATTATAAAAGAGTTACAACTACTTGGAGAGCTGTATGCATTAATGCTGCTGAAAACAGTTATATAACTGTCAGAAGTGAAATTAAGATAGAGCTTCTACTATATAAATGGTAGAAGTGTAGGATTTGTCTTTTCTCTTAATATTCACGTGTAATAATCAGATGCTAAAAAACAACAGCTGGTATGCCAGTTGCTGGCATTTCTGGAACAGGAGGTTCTGGCAACGGTCATGCCCTTTTCTCCTCATGTATGGACAACTGTAAAGCACTCCACATGGGTCTGCTCTTGAAGACCATTTGGAAACTTCAGTTGGTGAAAAGTAGCTGCTTATACACTAACTGGATCTATTAGCTATAGCCATATAACATTAGTATTGTGGGAGCTGCATTGTCTGCCCAGCAGTTTTTGAGTACAGTGCAGGGTGCTGGTGATAATTTAGAAAGACTTACAAGGCTTAGGACCTGGTTTTCTCCAAAATGGCTTATTCCAAATTATAGAGGGCATTGAGAATGGTCTTGAAGGAGAGGAGGAAGAGCTGCTAGAAAGGCAACGGTCAGATAAGTGGGGCTTGATCCCGTTCCAAGAAACTAATTTGAGAAAACTAGGGCCCCTCCCTAGTTTACACAAAGATAAAGGGAGGGAGGGGGAAGCACTTTATTTATTTATTTATTTATTTATATCCCACCCATCTCCCCCAGAGGATGACTCTGGGCA